TGCTTTCTTGATTTGCAGAGAGATTTTTGAGATCAAGAAGCTGTCTGTGAACTTGCTTATATGATGTTTTCCCCTGCAAAGTGAGAAGTGCTTTTGAGAGTGGAAAAGGCTCAGATGCTCACCAGGAGGTTGGGCTAGGGGCTTGTTCCCATGTCCAGATCTGAAGTGCACATTGCCAGGAGCTGTGAGGTGCTGCTCATGTTTGGGGCTTATTCACTCACATTGCTAAATTTTATCTGATTAACTTGTTTTATTAAGACAAAGACTTTTTTTAAGCTTACCTACAGTAAGGCAGAAAGAAGGAGAAATATATGAGAGTGCTGTGTTGTTAACAGACCAAACACGTTGGTGTCTGTCCACATGTAGACATCACCCAACAGATTCATGGTTACATCTCTCTCACCAGTGGCAGTTCACTCAATAGGCATGAATCATCTGGTGATCACAAGCCAGCAATCAGGTTCTTTTATTCCAATCTAAGTTTCTAATATCTATAACACTCAAGTCACACGTCACACTTCACACAATCGTGTACTAGGTTACAGAAAGGCTAAGAAAGGGTTAGGGTAACCATGTGGGGTTAGAAGGTCCGAGAGCAGCTATGTAGGTGTCAGATAAGACCAGGAACCAGCCAATGGACATCTTCAGGGCACAGAAAGCCCAGGATGTGCTCTAGGCAAGGGTCCTGACTGCAGATTCGGTGTCTGGTGGAGGTATCTGCTTGGAGTGGGCCATACGTGGTGATCACGGGCAGGAGAAACCGCACTTTGCTGAAGTCCAAGGAGGATAGGAAATCAGAGGTTGTTTACTGTATCAATTTTCCAGAGCAAGGCTTGTGACTAGTGATCAGGGGACAGGGTAAAAATGTTGCTGTGTCTACTCTTGGGGACGGGGACGGGGTGAAAGTGTTGCAGTCTAATCTTGAGCTTCTTCTTTATGGGCCTTGAATGAGGGGTTCACATCTGGTGAGGTTTATGTGATTTGGGAGGTTTACGTGTCCAGGTGCTCCTGAGTTTGGTATGTTGGCACATTTATTAATTTGTGCCTTATGGTGGCAGATGGTGGCTATTTACTTGTACAAACAAGGGGTGGAGTCGTTCTTCCTTGACATTTTTACTCAAAACTGAGTAGCTCATGGCAAACTAGTGCTTTACTAGATGGAATCACTCAAGATCAGGCACAGCCTGACAATTGGTGTTCTGTATAGTGACCAAGGGGTCACTCAGGGCAGGCAGAGCTTGAGAACTGCTGTTCTGTACACCACAGGGTCACTCAGGGCAGTCTTAGCCTGAGGTCTGCTGTTTTACACACTATGGGGTCACTCAGGGCAAGCAGAGCTTGAGAACTGCTGTTCTACACACCAAGGGGTCACTCAGGGTAGGCACAGCCTGAATACCGCTGTTCTATACACTGTGGGGTCACTCGGGGCAGGTACAGCCTGAGGACTCCTGTTCTATACACCATGGAGTCACTCAGAGCAGGGCATAGACTGCCCTCATGTTAAAAAAGTAAAGCCATATTTCTATGTGTAACGTACATTAAATTTTAAAGGAAGCTTTATTTCATGCGATTAAGTGGCAGCCTTTATAAACAAAAAGCATCAACATCCTTAACTAATGGTGTTTTTAAAAAAAATGTTCCCTCAAAATGTTGTCCTTCCAGTGATAAAACAGGCAGGTTTCATGGAGAAACCAGTCACATATTTTCAAGTAAGTTCAAGCTTGTAGTTTTGTGTTGCTTTGCTTTGTTGTGCCAGAAATCAAAGCCAGGGCTTCTCCCATGCTGGGCGGGTGCAGACATACAGCTGTGCTTCTCAGTGAGTCCCTACCCTTTTGCCCTCTTTTTCTTATTTACTTTCATATTTATCTATATATTGGGGGAGGTGTTCCTTGGGAGCTTGGGGTTTTGGGGTGCTGAGTCTAGAACCCGGGTCCTCACACATTCGCAGCACGCATTCTGCCACTAGCTGCCCCCCAGCCCTGAGACTTCCTGACAGCCCAGCAGAGTTCCCTTGCCTCTGCAGTGTGGGAATGCAGCCCTACCTGCAGTGGGAGCTTATTGTCCTTTGTATGTAATAAGTCACAAATGCTGACGTGGTACTAACAAATTAGTTAGAAAATAGTGCAGGTGTTGATTCCTGAAAATGCTGTGTGTAGCTAGGGGATTTCTAGAGATGAAAAAAGGAGTTAAAATCAGTGTTGCAAAACAATGTCATGTTAGAATTACAGGCTCAAGTCCAGTGATCTGGAACATAATGAGATGAATTAATAGGGATAAGTATTATGTCCTCTGTTTAAATTTTAAAGGCACCAATTGACTTAGAGAAAAAAGGGTTATATGGCACTACTTAATTTTTTAAAATATGTGCTATTAGTAGTATTTTACTAGGTCTCAGTTTTTTAGAATATTGTTGAAATGGTTTGAAAACAGCACAGTTACTAACAGCATCTTTGTACCCCAAACAAGCCGTCTAATTTAGGCTACTTCAGTTATGAGAGACGGTGCCCAGAATCCAGCAGGCCAGTGGTTGCTCCGCTCTTCCTGGCTGTGCTAGGCTCTGATGGGTGGTGGTGGTGGTTTTTTCATGGTGGCCTTAGGAAGAAAGTGCTTGCTGGTGGCACAATCAAGGTCATATCATGGGAGGGTCACACTGTGGGAGACCTGACCCAGGACGAGAGGGCAGGGAGGCAACACGGCCTTGCTGGGGTCAGTGGGGCTCTCTGGCTGGACGTGACTCGGGTGCTGAGAGCATCTCACGGGGTGTCACTTCCCTGCTGCTCTCTCCCCGTAGACACTGGAGCTGATGACCAAGGGCAGTTTCGGTGGACTAGAGCGCAGTGGTCCCTCCAAGGACTGGACCCGCGAACTGGTGCATCTCCAGGAGCAGGGCAGCCTTTTCCTCCCCACCCCCACTTCTTGTGACCGAGTGGCCTCCCCACTCAGCTGCCCATCAGCCCCCAGCGAAGCTCCTCAGGGACTGACAGACATCTGCGTCCCACTTCCACAATCTGGGAAGAGAACGGACTGCCAGTGACCACCTGCTTTCTATCAGTGCCAATTATTTGTAGTCTGGAAGAAGAAAGGTCACACAGTCTAAATGATTTCTGAGAACCCAGGAGGGTGGGATCCAGACGGTGTGCAGGTGGCGAGAGGCGGGAGGGGCTTTGTGGAGAGAAGATATGTTTGGGGGCAGCCGGTGGCAGGAGCTGAAAGAGCAATCTCCCAGGAATCAGACTTCAGTTCAACTTAGGGAAACACTTACTGAACCAGGGGTGGCACACATCTGTACTCCCAGCCACTCAGAAGCCTGAGGAAGGGGGACAACAACTCAGGCCAGCCTTTCAGCAAGTTAGCCAGACCCTGTCTCAAAAGAAAAAGTAAAAAGGAATGCAATGTAGCTCAGTGGTAGGCACCCCTAGGCTCAATCCTCAATACCACCAAGAAAATAAAAAAAGAATGGAAAACATTATTGGAGCATTACAAGTTGTGACAGGCTATTTGGGTTATTAAATCCCTCATCAACTGTTGGCTCAAATGACCACTTGTCAAAGGAACATTACAGAAGAGATCCTAGTCTTAGATGGAAAGATGGTCTAGTTTACCTCTGAAGTTCCTTCTGAGCCTGAGGGTAAGATCAGTTTTATCATAAGTTACTTCTATCCAAGTAGTAAAATTTAATGTTTTTTTTACAGATACATCCAGTATCTCTTAAGCCAGGGAAACCAAGAGGGCTGGGTGGCTACAGAATCCCATCTCAGTTAGTTCAGGAGTGATGGTCTGGGGACAGGGGGAGGCAGGTCAGGGGCCTCCTTCACAAAGCAGGCTGTATGGTTAGCCCTCGTGGAGTGACCAGCCACCCAGAGGGGCCTGGTTCAAAACAAAGCGTTTCTTGGCTCCCGTGTCTGTGGGTTGGCAGTGTGGGCTTCGTCCAGCTGGGTGGAGGCTGCTGCTCTAGGATGACTTCCGGTGGCCTGACCTGTCACGTGTCCTCATCCCAGCTTCACAGGACAGCTGGGGAGCTCTCACAGGAACAGCTAGCACTACAGGCTGCTGCAGGCCAAGGCGTAGAGCTAGTGTGAGGTCACTTCCACTGAATCTGTCCATCAAAGTAAATCTCAGGATCACCTAAAGCCAGAGGGGCTGGACATGTCCCTTGATCAGAGGAGAAGCTACTTGTGAAGAAGGGATATAGAGATGGAAGGTCATTTCCACTTTCTTTATAAATAAGTACCACAGTGAGCACACCGTTTTAAAGTATTATGGGTCATTAAAAATATCCTGTGTGTGTGTGCATGCGCGTGCGAGTATTTTACTGGGGATCGACCAGGCGTGCTTAACCACTGAGCCACATCCCAGCCCTTTTTATTTTTTTTGAGATAGAGTCTTGTTAAATTACTGAAGCTGATCTTGAACTTGCAATCCTCTTCCTCAGCCTCCTAAGTTGCTGGGATGACAGGTGTAGGCCACCATGCTGGGCTCAGAGTAGCATTTTGTAGTAGATGCTTTATTCACATTTTATATATTGAGAAACTACAGCTCTCACTACAAGTTGACTGTTCATTTATATTAATCTGAACAACGAATCGAATACTGAGAAGTATTTTCTGTTCAAGAATGGTACTTTGAGGTGGTTTGCAGGTTAAAGTTACAAGTTATAAAGTTAATTGTTTCCTTTGTTTCAAAGAAGATAAAAGTATCTATATCTCTTCACTGAATCTGTCCAAAAGAAAAAAATTGACTTGACTTTGTAGGCCCTTATGTTCCTGCAAATATGAATTAGATTGGATAAAAAGTTACACCAAGAGGGCTGGAATCTGGCTAAGTGGTGGAACACCTGCCTAGGGAGCATGAGGCCCTGGGTTCAGTCCCCAGTGCCAGGAAGAACAGTTGCATCAGGAGTAAATTATTATAATGTAAAGATTTGGGGGTTAGTTCTTAAAGAGCAATAACATTAGATAGCATTGTTTGAAACTTTGCCTTTAAATGTCTGTCCCTTCTAGGAGCTCTGCCAGTGCCGGCCCGGCGAGGGGAACTGCTCCTGCTGTAAGGAGTGCATGCTGTGTCTCGGGGCCCTCTGGGACGAGTGCTGTGACTGTGTGGGTAAGTTGCCACCCAGGCGGTGGCTCAGCGTTTAGGAGACTCAGGGAGGCCAGGGGGTGGCCCAGTGGCAAGGCTCTCACCTGGTGTGTGCGTGACCTTTGGCTTAATCCCCAGCACCACGGTAGAAAGAGAGACTTCACAGAACAGAAGTGTGTTTTATGTGTATGAATGAGTTGCCTCAGGTATAATAAGCATTTGGAACATTGCTATTACATGTGCTTGTTTTGGATCATATTTACATTTATGTGCTTTATTTTTATTGAAAAAGTTTGGGGAAGAGATTTAAAGTGCATGACCTTGGGGTGTGGAAGGGAGGGACCCAGAGGTGATACTTTTTGCTTTTCATTTAAAATCTTCTATACTATTGAATTTTTTGTAAGAAGAAATTTGTTGCTAGGAACCATATTTTATCAGAAGCATCTAGAAAAATTTTCCAAGATATATTAAGTCAAACATGTGCATGTGGGTTGATAGAGTGCTGCTGGTGGTGCTGAGAAGGAAAACCGAGCACCTGAACCGTGACTGGGGCAGGACACCCCGCGGCTCCTTCAGGTCTTGGTGCAAACACCCCCTTCTCAGCAGCCCTCACAGGGAGCCGGGAGCACCCACTCACCCTGCAGGACTGCGAACTGCAGGCCCCTGTGAGGGTTGCTAGCCTGTAAGGAGGAAGCAGTCAACCTTTTGCACAGTTAACTCCCTGTCCGTCCTCACTTGCTCGCTCCTCTCTCCCTGTCCGTCCTCATCCTGTTTGTTTTCTGGGGTATTGTGAAGTCCATCATTTCACAACACTACCAAAATACTTTAGTTATGTATCTCAAAAAAAGAGTAATTTTTCTTACAATGTCCAGTGAACAGTTCTTCTTTAATGCCATCTAACACCACGTCAGTCCACTGATGGACTGAAGGTCTTCTGCAGGGGTTTTACCCAAACCAAGAAGTGAAGTCCACTTGCTGTGGTGGGTGGTTGAGGTTTCTTAAGTTTCTTTTTTTCTAGAACAGTTCCTGCTTGTCCCCATCTTTTGCTGTTCTTTTTGAAGGAACCCATTTGTTTTGATGGGAAGGAGACCTCTTCTGGATTGGGTGGTGGCTTCCTGTGGCCGTTGAACCTGTTATTCTGTCCACTCTGGCCTAGAGGCTGGAAGTGAGGTTCAGGCTTGCTGTGGGGAGGCACAGAGTGCACCTTAGCAGGTAGGCAGCACCAGAGGTTCTGCTTCTGGCGATGCTTAGTTTGGTCAGTGGGTGACAGTACCATCCTTGGTGATAGGTGGAGGTCCCTGTCGGCCTCCCATCTAGCAGTCTCCCCCTGCCCTGATGACCACTGGCTGGGCCAGGCGTCCCATTGGAGTTGTGAGGCAGTGACTGTCCATCTCCACAACTGCTTCTGCAGTTGTCACCAGCTGGGACTATTCTGCGTGGAGCTTCCCTTGATCCAGTGAGGCCCATTGCTTACCTTAAAATAAAGGTGTATAGACAAACGCAAGATAAACAGTAAATCCTTTCTCTTCATGCATTTGCCAAGCACTGACTCTGCCCTCAGATTCCACTGAGGTTCAGTATGTTTTATTTGCTTTTTGCTTGCTTGCTTGCTTTTTTGATGAAGGGTTTGGGATATATATATTTAGTGTTTTATTTGATTGCTGCCATCCCTCCTCTTTCTTTTTCTTCAAATTGCCTCATCTCTAGTTAGTAGGAGTCTTTCCAGATCCTCACAAAGGCCCAGAGTCCTTTGGATGTGGCTTGTTCCTATGGCTTCAGAACCTCCCAGACTCCTGGGATTGCCCCTGGAGCCTTGCCCCCCCCCCCCCAGGAAGAATGGTGGTTGGAGATGGCCATCCAGACATTGGGAGTGTTGTGGCTGCTCCTCGGGCCTCTCCTGGCCCTTTCCAGTGGGCAGACATGATAGACAGGTATAGGCACGGAGAGGACCTGCTTTGAGTTCTTACTAATTCGGTTTTAAGATAACAGAGTCTTGGGCTGGGATTGTGGCTCAGTGGTAGAGTGCTCACCTAGCACGTGCGAGGCCCCAGGTTTGATCCTCAGCACCACATAAAAATAAATAAAATAAAGATATCGTGTCCAATTACCACTAAAAAATAAATATAAAAAGATAACAGAGTCTTTATTTCTTTGATTTATATTTGTAACTTCTTTTAAATTGAACTTTTTTGTTCCTGCGTATATGCTTGATTTTTTGTTTAGACGTTTTCTGTGTGAAGGAATTTATTAGAAAAGTTATTTTGACCTTTTAAAATAATAATATATGCTTTTATCTATAATAAATCAATGAGATGATTAAATAAAATTTAAGGTTGCTGATTCTTAAATATTTCCTGAAGATGCAAGTTCAAATACAGTGTTCCAAGGTCATCTAGAATCATTTCCTGGGCAGTTATGGGACCATCTTGACATAAAGTAAGGTTTATTTGTATTCATTTGTTTTCAATTTTTAGGGGTTGTTTCCTTTTGGTTTGGTGTTTGGGTTTTTAAAAATAACTTTATTTTATTTATTTATTTTGTATGTGGTGCTGAGGATCAAACCCAGTACCACTGAGCCACAGTCTCAGCCCCATTTTAGTTTAGTTTTATGTTTTGGGTTTTTTTTTTTTTTTTTTGGTGTGTGTGTGTGTGCATGTACATGCTCATAGCTCATGCCAGGGATTGAATTTAGGGCAGCTTAACTATTGGGCCACACCCCTAGCCACACCCCCTTTAAAATATTTTTTAAAATTTTTTTTATACCTTTATTTTATTTATTTTTATGTGGTGCTGAGGATCGAACCCAGGGCCTCATGCATGCAAAGCAAGTGCTCTACCACTGAGCTACAACCCCAGCCCTGCAAGCCCTTTCTTTTATTTTTTATTTTGAAACAGGGTCTGAGTTGCTGAGGCTGACCTTGAGCTTGTCATCCTCTTGCCTCAGCCTCTCTGGTCACTGGGATTACAGGTGTGTACCACCATGCCCAGCTAGCTTTATGTTTTGAGGATATGAAACCTGTACAAGAGAACCAAGCCAAACGCACACAGCACTGGTTAGATAGGGGCTCATGTCCATCTTTGTCACCTCTGCTCTGCTTCCTGCCTTCCCTATAATTTATTGTTCAAGTAAGGTCACTGGGAGAGTGAAACAATGGTAGCCAAGCCTAAACTCACTGAAGAAACTGGACCTGTGATCCCTTAAAACTCCACAAGCATTTGCGTTTGCCATCAGAGCACTCATCCTGCATACACCGTTGTGCCCTTTGCCTTCTCTTCTCTTTTCAGACTTAGTTGTGTGCAGCTGTAACCATGCTGCTGGCCATGGGGCGTGTGCTCGCTCACCATGCATGGGCCTTTGCTTACTTCCTGTCTTTCCCCATTCGGACAGCCCTGCATCAAGTGGCCATGTGCAGAGGTCTTCTGTGCAGCTGTGCTGGTGTCCACATGCTCTTCCCTGAGGGCTCTATCCTCTGCACTTTCACCAGGGCCCTATAACTCTGCAGCTTACCCAATCCCTGCTGCATTGCTACAAAATTACACTGCTGGGCTGGGGCTGGGGGCAGGGCGCTTGCCTAGCATATGTGAGGCACTGGATTTGATCACATAAAAAGTAAATTAATTTAAAAATACAGTTATAAAAAAAGACTTCCTTCCTTAAAAAAAGAAATTACACTGCTGAACGCCCATTGCTATTGCTAATGAACTTCTGGATTTTTGTTAATCTGATAGGAAGAAATGGTATGACTTTAATTTTTATTTATCTTATTTCCAGTGAGGTAGATTGTCTGTTCATATGTTTAAGGACTGTATATTTTTTGAATTGTTTATTCTTATATATTAAGAATATATAAGAATAAACAATATAATTGTTTATTCTTATATATTATCCACTTTTCTACTGCTTTTTTCCTTAATTATTTAGGAATTTTGACAAATATATAGGATATAACTCCAATGCCTGTGTTTTTCCTCAGTCATTTGTATTGGTTGTGCTTCAAAGTATTTTTCATCCTGAAAGTCTTGTTTTCATGGAGCTGATCTCATTAAGGTTTCTTTCTCTCAGACTTGGCGCTGTGGTGGTCCCTGTCGCAGTAGTACTCGGTGTGCTTATATTTGTTGTGCACAGCTCTCTGGTGCATTTATCCTGGGGTTGGTTGTTTATTTGTTTTGTCCTGAGGGTTGAACCCTGGGGATGTGGCTGAGTGCTACCACTCAGCCACATCCCCAGCCCTTTTTTAAAATTTTGAGACTGGATCTCCCTAAGTTGCTGAGGCTAGCCTCCAACTTGCAATCCTTCTGCCTCAGCCTGCAGAGTGGCTGTGATTACATGTGCGTGCCACTGCAGCTTATCCTGATTGATGCGTGAGCTTGGATCCCGTTTTTTTCAAAAAACTATTACCATATATTTAAACATTATTGATGAAATCCTGGTAGAATTTATTGAGTAGTACCTTTCTCCTACTGATGGAGGTGCTGCCTTCCTCTGGTGCACTTTGCTTTATTGCTGGGTTTCCTGTCTGTCTCTATGTCTGTCCAGGCGTCAGGTCTCTCCCCCTCCCCCAACAGAAGCCTGGTCCCAGCTCTTTTGCTCCTCTGTGCAGCATGCTGTACATGGCACAGGCAGTCCCCGTCCATTATTAGTATATAAGGCAAAAAAGAACACTGACTTCATTTTTCTTTGGTACTTAGGCTGTTTAATTTTTCAAGATCATTTTCTCTAGAAAGTCAGAAACAGGACCATGGATGGTTAAGTCTTCATGTGGTTGAGATTCTCCTTTTTGAATTTTGGGTCTGACGTTAGACTGCCCTTTTAGGATAATTTGCAACAAAAATATCTGGGTCTGACCTTTTAAAAAGGAGCCACTCAGCAGAGCCAGGTGTCTCAGGCCTGCGGTCCCGGCCCCAGGGGAGGCGGAGATGTGAGAAGTGCTGGACCAGGAGCTGGGGGCATGAAGCCACTAACCAGGGCAGCAGGTTGTCAACCTTCGCCAAGTCTGATGGCTCACGGTTTCAACTTCTGGTCTTCTTTATTTGCCCATTCTAGATCTTCTGATCCTTAATTCTCATTTTAGTGCTATTGTTCTTTTTAACCCCTTAGGCTAATTTTGTCTGTTCTACACATAATACCACATATGGGCTTAAAATACATTTTGAAAAACATGAAATAACGCATTATGTAATCGTAGACTCTAACTACATCAATAATTATAAGTTCAGCCCATATTTAATGTGTGTTCAAAATCCAAATCTGTGGCAAATGTTAAAAGAAGAAATTAATAATTGCACCCAATGAAGACCAAGGAGGAGAGGTGGACATCACTGCCGCCGGGCTCTTGCTGTCCTGCACCAGGTCTGTCATGGTCAGTGGGGAGCCTCTCCTCACCACCAGGTGTGGACGCCAAGTGTGAGTCTCAGTACAAATGCAGGTGGAGCTCAGGTGGAGCTTCCCTGCTCACCCACCTGGTCCTTAAATGGGTAATAGAGGATCCAGCAGAACAGCAAGGGGCAGGTGCGGCTGAAGGAACCAGCTTGAACCACGAATTGAGGGAGTTAGGGACAGGGCAGGACCTGGAGACCAGAGCCCGCCAGCACCAGGGGCTGTGGAGGTCCCTCTCCCTCCCCCAGAAGACACCATGGGCCTCATCCAGGCACCAGCAGGGTCTGGAGGCCTCCTCCTAAAAGGAACTGGGCTCCCCAGCTTTAAGCATGTAGTTGAAGAGCATGAGGCTCTTTCTAGATCGGCTGAAGCCTTATTCTGAGATCCACAGAAAGAAAATTCTAAGCTTAAAATGCCAGGGTTGTGGGGGGAGGGCACTCAAGAAGAAAATATTTTCCATAAAGGAATCAAATATGCCATCCATCTTTCCTGATAAAGACCTTCAAGTATACACAGAAGCGGAAAGAACAGCCTAGTGAACTCCGCATACCCATATCAGACTCAGAGTGATTGAGAAGATGCACACTTGCCCTACCTATTTTTTTTTCTTTGCTGAAGTATTTTAAAGCAAATTATAGCAGGATCTAGTGGCACACACCAGTAATTCTAGCTCCTCAGGAGACTGAGGCAGGAGGATTGCAAATTATAATTGCTTGACCTGAAGTTCAGTTCATGATCAAGGTTCTCCAGATGTCTCAGAATGCGTTCTGTAGCTGATTTGTCCAGATCCCTATGGGGGCTTGTATCGCATCTCTAATCCAGAGCCACCATGCCTGTCCCCATGCTGTACAGTTGACCTATGGAGCGACCACCTTTAACGGGTCCTCTCCCCTTCTGTGCTTAGTACTTCAGAGCCACCTGTGAGCCCTTGATCAGCTTCAGGTTTGATGCCCCTTGGCAAGAAGACTGCATGGGTGTGCTGTGAGGTTCTCAGTATTTTACAGAGTTCAAGGAAAGCCCTTGTCTTGACATCCAAGGCACTGTTCTTTGCCGTGACCTTGGATAAGGGGTCCTGGCATGCTGCCTGAGCCTGGTGACCAGTGCTTGCAGGTTCCACTTGCAGGCAGGGGCAGGCCCTCCATAGAGGCAACCATCAAGCCTGTCAGAGCACAAGTTGGAAACGGGGAGGGAGAGTGGGAAGGGCCTGGCATCCTGGCCTTGGAGCCAGGAGGGGATGTAGAGTAGAGCTAGGTATTTGCATGTATTTAAGATACCAAGGAAGCTAATTGCCATGTTGATGACATCATTATGAGGGATATGGGGGGGGATAGGGCTAGGGTCAATGAGTTCCTTCTTTCATCTTTTACTCTAGAGCGTTCACTAATAATGTCTCGAGGTGCTTCTGCAGCTGCTTTGACCATTTTTATTTGGGTCATCCTGGTGGTAACTATGAAAGGGCTGTGGAATGGCGTGGGCTGAGGCCTTTTGCTGCTGGCTCTTCTGGTGTGTCCAGGCACCCAGGAGAGCAGTAACATTTCCCCTGTTGTCTTAGCATCTCCATGAAATACAGTTTGTCAGGTAAACCACCTCTTCTCGCATCCTTGGTTTTCAGGTATCTGATGATGACAGGCCAGACTTAAGTGTTGCTCTGTTATCATGGGAAATTCTTTGTATTTCCTAGTTGCAGATGAAGAGTGTGATGGGGTGAATTTGGGAGTAGTGTCTAAATTCTGTTCACTTATGGATTTGAAATCTTTGCCTCTCAATTATGGCCAGTTATGACTGTTATTTGCAAAACCAGTTTAACAGTTGCATTTATAGTTAGTATTTAAATTTCTATGTAGTGAAAGAATACAAACCAGTAACAAAATCTCAGAGAAATGATCAGGAAGAGAAAAGTGAGCTCCAAGGCAGCCTCTGCTTGGAGAAGAGCTTCTAAGGACAGACCAGACCCCAGGACGCTCAGGCAGGTGCTTTTGCAGAGCCCTTCCGAGTGAACTTATACACAGAAGCTGGTAACCCCAACCCGAAGTTGACCCCTTGTTTGCAATGAAGAGGGGCAATTAAGGAGCTCCAGAAGTTTCAAAGGTTTCCTTTTCCTGGGCAGGACAACACATCTGGAGGATCAGTTACAGTCTTGAAAGAGTGCAGAATTGGAAGGCTCATGGCAGGAAGTGAGGTCAGGGTCACATGCTGAGTCTCCTGTGCTATCTCTGGAAATGACCCTCATTGAAGAGATGACAGACACACATTCATAATGCCCAGAGGGTTTGCTTTCCAGTGCTGAAGATCATTTGCAAAAGGAGTTATTAGAAATGGCAATGGCAGTGAAATATTAAATCTAATGGATGCTTAAAAAGAAAAAGAAAGAAAAATTTAGCTTTTCAAAGCTGAAGGAAACCCAGAGCACTCTGTTCCAGTTACTCTTGCTACTAAATCACCTAACCTGAATTGCAGTGGTGGGGCACGCACTGTCCTTGTTCATGAAGTCCCTGCAGGACGGGCTCGTGGGCAGCACCCCCCCTACACCAGGCAGCCCACCACGAGGAGCAGTGCCTGCCCCACAGGCTGGGGCTGGCTGAGCTCCCCCAGCCTCGCCTTCCCAGCACGGCCCTGGGAGGAGGTTTGTCATCCCTGTCTGCAGTTCCCTCCATCCATGTTCTTATTTTTAAATTATTTTTTTAAACTATTCATTTTGAAATAATTTCAGGCATAGAGAAATTTTCCAGAAGGGTCGAAAGACTCCCATGTTCCCCTCTCTGGATTCTCGGGTGTTGACATTTTATGTTCATATTGGCTCTTTGCTCAGTATCCGCCTCTCTCCTCTCTCTCTCTCTCTCTCTCACACACACACACACACACACACACACACACACACAC